CAAGGCTAGTTCCCCCTCACACTCATGTGCCCACCTCAAAACATTCTGGTGACTGGCCTGATTTGTCTAATGTTCTGAAATGAAGTATTCTTATTATACAGGCCATTGTCTATATGTTTTTTGATTTTTTTTAATGCTTTGTTTTCACTGGTTTGTTCTTCAGCCTTCCTACATTCGTTTGAATTTCTAAAAAAAACATTGTTATTTCATGAATTATTCGAACTAGTCTCCTCAATCCTTGTAACTCTGATAACTATATCTTCAAAATTACAATCCGTTTTCTTCTTATTGTTGCTTGAAGTTGTACGAAAAGTATTTTCATTTGTGTTGTTTTGATCCATGCATTTTGACCAGCGCATTCTCCGACCTTCCTTAAGCATATGCTAGAATAAAAATACTTAATCTCATTCAAAAAATAATTCTTAACTAGATAAGAGAAACTGCTTAAAGATTGGCACAGGCAACACTCGAAGAAGGCTAAGGAATTAACTAGTTGAAATATGGTGATCAAAACAACAAAAATGAGGATACTAGTGTGAAAAGTGGTGCAATATAAAAATTGCATTTTTCATAATGTGACAAATATCTCCATTGGCCCCTTGTCAATTGTATATTCTGTACCATATTTTCTTGGGACCATAAATCACTATTTTAAAAATGGGTTGGTTTGTTTGCTATCCAGCCTCATCCCTTTCACCCAACCCCATGAAAACTGTGGCTTCACTTTCCACAGGTTTCAGATACCTGCAAACAAATCCAAGAATAAACAGTTCTTAACTTTTACTTATCAATCGTCCCAATGAACCATGATGCTGGTGATTGATATTTGCCAATGAGAAACTGTAAAGTTCTTTTTTTTTTTTAAATCAGTATCACCTCAAACAAGACAGTAATGCCACTAAAGCACAAGAGGTTACAGGGTGTGGAAGAATTAGAAACAGAAACATTAATGATGAGCAGAAAGAGTAATCAGGAGGACAGTAGATAACAATTGACATTGCATTTAGATTTTTGCACTTCTCCTGTTTCCCTGATAGCTATAATCTCCAACTGTTCAAATGTAATGTCAATCGACATCTCCAGATGCCTTGATCTATCTCCTATCCTTCTCTTCATCCTTTCCTCTATCACTCCTATTTGCTCTAGCTCCAACTCTCTGTAACCCCTGCGTGCTAGTGGCTTCCCACCTTGCTTGGGGTGAAACGCTTAAAAAAAAATACATAGATAATGAGAGTGATTCAACTCTGTGGATGTAGGAAGGTGGGTCTTAACTGTAGAGGTTTGAACTGGTAGGACTAAAAAATGGAACTTGCCTGAATATTTGCCATGGAAATAGCAAGAGGCTTGCAACATTTTGGCTGTGGGAAAAGTGGTTTCACGGTAGAAAATAAATCAACCCTTACAAGATAAAAGGCTTTTCTCAAGCCTATTATTATTGTATTATAACTGTGCTTGTCCCTCCCTTTGTTAGTTCGCATGACCATTATTTCCTATCAATACCTCATAAAAATAATGGACTATTTCGCATTTTGATCACATGGCAAGGAGGAAAAACACACTGCTTGGTTTCAGTGAGAAAATGAAAGAAAGAAGATAGAAGTAGAAAGAAAATTAGATTAAGCTGATAAGAACAGATACTACACTTTGGTCTCAGCCAATAATTCGAGAATATATGACGACCACAATAAAAATGCCATTTTTTTAGATACACAGTATTGAATGATGGAAACTGAGTAAGGTAATCCTCAAAATTCCAATTACCATAAATTAAATAGAACATCATAAATTTGTTCAATAAAATCACAATTGGCTTCAACCACGGCCTCCAGATGACTTTGAGATCTCCTGCAACTCTTTTGGACAATGTCCTTGTTTAAGCTAGTGAATACTGCCATAATCCTTGCCTTCAGTTCATCTTTGGTTTTACAAGGAGTTTTGTTGGTCTCTCACTCAACTGCACCCCCACACATAATAATCAAGAGGGTTGCAATCTGGGGAGTTAGATGGCCAGAGGTAAGGGGTGATGTGGTCGCAGAAATAGTCAGACAGCCATGACTGGATTCTCCTGCTTGTGTGGCATGGTGCAGACATAGGGTCTTCCAACAGCCACCCTCTTGACCCAGGGTTAGAATGTATAAGAATGAACTAACCAGTTATTGCTCCTCACTTGTCAAAACTTAATCAATGCTTGATATTATTAAGGCTGATCTCATGAATCTTTCTTTAGCGCTTAAAGAAAGAAACACTGTTAAGTATAGCAATATTATCTATTTATGTACCAGTCCTTGTAAAATATTAAATAAATTTTAAATTTTAGAAGGAATGTTACACTTCAATTTCACAGTGATGTGATATGGTACAAGGCCAGCTTAAAGTAACGAGCCCAAGTACATGGGCGAAATCAAACAATTGCCAGTCCCCACAACCAACATTGCATTGTTATCGATATTTCACCGACCATCCTTCTTTGGTGTAATGATGGAGGTACTGCCTCAGGGGTGAAATCCCCAGGGACCAGGCATCCCTCATTTATTTGTTGTTTTCTGTCCTAAGACAGAAACCCAATTGAGAGATAAAATGTAGTTTATCCGCCTGAAAGGAAACACTAGACTTTGATTCTAGCCCGATAGCGAGGGAGCAAAAAAAACGTGACTCAAATAGCACTGGCTACGTGATTGATGAATGTTGAAAGTTTCCATATAAGTTAACTGTTAATATTACCATTAGGAGAACAGATACTACACTTTGATCCCAGCCAAATGACCAGGCAATGAAGAGAAGAGCAACTCAGTTTGCATAGTCAATGAATGCTGAATGTTTCCTTTTAAAGAAATGGCTAATATTACTATTACTATTAAAGATGAGGAGAACAGATACTACACTTTGATCCCAGCCCAATGACCAGGGTTTGAAGAAAAACATGACTTGAGTTTCACTGGCTGCTCAACCAATGAATACCGAATATTTCCTTATCAGGAAACTGCTAATATCATTACTCATTCAAATTTGACTATTTTAAGGTACTAGTCAAATACCCATCCTTCAAACTAAGCTCACTTGAATTTCCTACTCTGCATATAGCTACTTAGAGCTGACCATGAGAGAAATATTTGAATAATTTTCTCATGTTTATTTTCATAATTAATTCAGCAAACTAAGTCTTTCCTCACTTGTTTAATTCAGTACATTTTTAAAAAAATCTAACTAAACCAAATGGATTATTTTGACTTATTTAGATGATTCCATAAAATTTTTCTCAACCGACTAATTTGTAATGATGTGAAATGTCAGATGACAACAATGCTTATTACAAATGCTGTAAATTTTCTAACTTATGACTGAATTTTGGCTAGGCAGATATAAGTTTTTTTGATACACACACAATTTTACAAAAAAAATATTTATCCACACAAACTGTCTACATATGTCAATTTTTTAAATTTGAATTAAAAATATACACAGATGAAATGTTTATGTTCAAATCATATTTTTCTATTGAAGAAAAGTGTGTTGAACTTCTGTGTAATATCAATCCTCATATATGCCATTAAATTCTAGACAATTCCTTCGCAGATGAACATGAGACTTGATGCAACAGAAATATGGTTCTACTGAACCATGCAGAAAACATGTGAGCAATAAGAGAGTTTTAAGTAAAATGGAAACAAAAAGGACAATTAGAATCAGAAACAGACAGTTGAAATTCCTGATATATATATATAATAAGGAAAGAAGGCTTGGAGAATATGACATTCACAGGATATGTTGAAGGCAAGGGAAATAGCAAGTAACCTACCTAACAAGATTGGATAAATGGACGGTGGAAGAAGGATTGGGAGGGATAGTGGGGGGACAAACATTACTTATTAAAAAGGATAGGAAGTTATGGCAAGCTGCGATTGTCCATATCCTGAAGTGCATAAAAAAGTCCTTTTAGATCCAAATATATGGTGGTGGTATTTCAAATCAGCATTTAAAGATTTGGTGTTATTACCAAAGTGTGAACACCAAGCTTTCACCCAAAACTTATTGAAGACTCTGTCTTTTAAGTCCAAGTAGATCAGGATTTCCCAACCTAGGCAATATCACCCACTGGTGGGCGATTTCAACTGCTGGGTGGGCAATGTAGGATTTTGAGTATTAAAAAGATATTTAAACATATGCTACCAAAAAAAAATGATCTAAGGAGATATGCAAAGAACCTGTATAAAAAAAAGCACAAAAAAAACAAGAAGCTAAATGAGAGTTACTGGGTCACATTCCAAGATAAGATATAAATATCCCCACAAACAATGGATATTTTAATAATATTTTAATTTCAAGTAATTCTTCAGACAAAATAACTTTTTTCTTTCGGATATAAATCAGATAAAAACAACTTTGCCATTAAAATTAAAAAGTGACTTAAGGATGATTTTTATTTAAGATGAAATTGTTTTTACTTTTTTATATCACATTCCCTACCTTGATAAATTCAAAGTGTCCATCAAAACATAATTTACCCATCAATGTAGGTTTTTAAATATTTACTACACAGGTGAGTGATAGAAAATTTTTCCTTTTAAAAGTGGGTGATGACGCAAAAAAGATTGGGAACATCTGAAGTAGATGATGGTGTTTCAATTCATGTCCTTGTGTTGATTTGAATCATGTTAAATATTTCTTTCTCTTAATATTAATCTATTTTGACAGAGTTTTCTATTATTTTAATTATTTGTTTTTTTTTTTAATCTAGTTTACTGAGAATTTATTGCATCTCAATGTTCGTATGTTTGTACTTGGACTTCAGTTTTGTATTCTTTGTCCATTTTTACTTTCTCTTGTTAAAAAAAAAAAATGGAAGATGATTGGTATTATTTGAAATTTTAAAAAAATAAAATAAACAGAAACTTTTATGAAACGATATAAGATTTGGATGAATTATCAAATAAATTTTCATTTTTAATAAAATGAAATGCTTCTGATAGTTTGGTATTTTTTTCTTTTCTTTTCTTTTTCAGAGGGTGAATCGTAACTTGTAACTTTTATGGTGGGGAGGAAGATGACAGGCCAGAAATCCCTTCCAACGGAAATCACTGGAAAACCTTTTTTTTTTAAAAAAAAAAAATTAAATTAAAAAAGAACAAACCCCTTTTAATGAACAAAAAAATACTGAAACTTAATTTTTAAGAAAAAAAATGAAAAGGAAAAAAAAAATCAAAATTTTTTTTTTTTTTTTTGTATATTTTTTTCTTAACACATTAAATCAAATACATTTTTTTTATGTATATTTTTTTTACCCCTAATACATTTTTGTGTTGTGTTTTGTATTTTGTTAATTATGCAGTTAATTTAAAAGAAAAATATATTTGTTTATAAAAAAAATGAGAAGGTCAAGTGTGTGTCTCAACCCAAATCATGCAAGAATATTTTTTGCACTCAATGTACCACAGAACCATCAAGGCAGCCAGATGCTGAGATAACCTCCAGCCACAAAGTGTATGACCAGACCAGCTGCACCTGGGTTGCATGTGTGGGAAAGGATCGTATCACAGGAGATATATAAACCCCACCTCAGAGAGGCATGCACAGTCTCTCTCACACATCACAGATGTGAATCTAAAAGTGCACATTTCACATGAGTCCCCAACCAAAAAGAGTTGTCAAAATTAAAAGTCGAATGTAATGTTATATTAAACGTGAGGGCTTCAAGTCTCGCTTTTACTTTTGATCAGCATAATGATGATATCATTACAAAGCTACAACACCTGCTTGGCTCAAATCATCTTCTCAGCAGGCCCAGCATAGATATAGAAAACATATGGGAGTTACTAATCAAAAAAGAACAAAGTACAGATTTAAGATTCTACATCTAATGGACATCTAAGGTTTTCTGGTCAATTATGACTTTCCGTGATGCTCTCAAGTGACTCCTTAGAGCAGACATAAACAAACACACTCTACCACAATCTGTACATGTCAAATTGAGCTGCCTCAATATATATATATATATATATATATATATATATATATATATATATATATATATATATATGTGTGTATCATATATATGTGTGTGTATATATTAATATATATATATATATATATATATATATATATATATATATATATATATAAATAAATATATATATATATATATATTGAATACATTTCATTGAATCAGCCAATGTGTTTTATTTAGTTTTTTTATACAATTTCTCATGCAATCTAATATTTTTTTTTTTCTTTTCAGATGATAACTTATATAAAAACTGTCCAAATCTATATGAAATAAAAAGGCCAAAAGTAATGGAAGTCTTATTGATAAAAACAAAAAAACAACAGTTACTAATATTAACTCTAAACATGGACATAATATTTTGACCATGTTTTGAAAAAATGAAAACATTTTATAAAACATACATGCAACAAACTATTTCTTATTTAAAAGTCAAAATATTTAATCCTTGAAAATGGCTAAATGTGTAGCAGAAAGCTCTTGGATAAAAAGAACATTCAGACAGTTTTTATATAATTTATCATCTGAAAAGAAAAAATATTAGATTGCATGAGAAATTTTATAAAAAATTAAATAAAAGCACCTTGTAAGTCGTATTCAATGAAATGTGCATGAAAGAAGGATTGCTGCCTAAATACATAAATATTCATATATATATATATATATATATATATATATATATTCATTATATATATATATATATATATATATATATATATATATATATATATGTATGTATATGTTTAATTTATTTGTTTAAACATTATTTTTAAATGGATACTTGTATTTGAGAAGATGATCTGTTTTTATTTATTTACATCTTACTGGCCTGAATATCAGAGAAATCTTGTTAGAAAATATGCATCATCAGGCCTGACGATTGCGTCTAGCATGAAATAGCCTGTCACCTCTAAGTGTTGACTTCAATGTTCATTTTTATAATTATATATATATATATATATATATATATATATATATATATATATATATATGGGGTGCAATCTATAAACTGTCATCTAAATCACACAAAAATGAAAATAACACTTATATCTTATTTTAACATATATTTACAAAAATTACACAAAAATATCTTGAAATACTAAACAATAAATTTATTCAATAAAATCACCATTCACTTCAACCACGCCCTCCAAACAACTTTGGAATCTCCTGCAACTCTTCTGGACGGTCTCCTTGTTTAAGTTGATGAATGCTGCTATAATCCTTGCCTTCAGTTCATGTTTGCTCTTACAAGGAATTTAGTCTCTCATTTAACTGTGTCTAAGTCTGGGGAGTTAGGTGGCCAGATGTAAGGTGTGATGTGGTCACAGAAATTGTCTGACAACTGTGACTGGCTTCACCTGCTTGTGTGGCATGGTGCACAGTCCTGTTGCCAGACATAGGGTCTTCCAGCAGCCACCCTCAAAGCACTTGATGTAGGTCTTCATGTTGAGTCTGAGGATCTCACCAACAAATTCGGACTTTCTTTTATTAACAGAATGAACAAAGTGAGTTTTCCAAGCTGCTTCCCTTCACTGAGTGTGAAAGAATAAGAAAACTAAGTTTCAAATTTGTTTCCTCATCTTTGTTGTTTTAGTATATCTGCTTTATTTTTCCCAAGTGTCTGTTGTATTTAAGAAGCTTCCAGAAAAACAAAACAGAACTCTTTATTGCATCAACAAGGAGTTAAACTTCTAACATTCAGTCCACCAAAACATTTGTTCACTAGACTTCAGCTGTTCTGAAAGTAACTGCATTTTAACAGAAAGGATATAAAAACATGTTTTTTTTATTGATTGATTTGTTTTTATAGCTTATCAACCTTTTGCAATCTTCCAATAGAAGTTCTACTATTTAAGCCATAGCTGGGGGAGTGAAGATGTGGCTTCATTCTTTTTCCAAGGGCATTTGCATATAAGTCAATATAACAAACCTGACTGAAATTTGAACTTGGCTCTCTCCTTTACCTATTCTGAGCTATTATACATTAAACAGGAATTTGTGATAGTCATTTGTCTTTCAGTGGCTTAATACACATCTATGGTTCGTCCTTCCTATAGAGAGTAGCAGTGTCAGTTTTACTGGACCATGTTTACTGACATGTGTATTATGCTCTGCAAAGGGAGTGTACAGCCAAATACTTATTTTATTATGTAGTGCCGTTTACATTTGATGCCATCCTGCATTCCAATGGCAGCTGATTGATTTAAACAGTTTCTTTATACTAGTTGTCCTTCTCAAAAATGAACTGCTCACACCACAGCTATGGAGTACCATCTACTCCTGACTGTGACAAGTTGTACTGGACTACAGCTTACCAGTAGCAGGAATCAAACAAAAACATTAGAACCTGAATGTCACAGCTAGCTCAGATGTCGATCCATTAAACAACACGCACATACCATATTAGAGCACCTGGTATTTGCAAGCGGTCACCCATCTAGGCATTGACCTGGTTCAGCATTGCTTAATCTTTAGCACTCTTAATATTACTTCCCTTTCCACTTCATTCTTTTTCAGGGCCTCTCAATTGCAGTATCCTTATCATTAATTTCACTCCAAGTTGATTTCTGTTGCCCTAGCAGGATATGACAACACAGCTATGAAATTGAAACACACTATTGTTGAGGGATCAGAGTTACCTTCAATGGCAGAATAAACTTTTTGTACAGCAAATGAAGTTACATCCAGAGTGACAAAGGTTAACTTCTGTGAACAAGCAAGTATTGATGTTTCAACATGATGTGGCCACAAGCCTAAAAACAAATGTAAATTTAATTCATTTAAATATTCATCTTCATCTATATGCCTTCATTGACGTGAGCAATCATGACTCTCCCCAACTTCCTATCCTTTGTGGCTTTTAGTAACATTTGTCTTTTTAGCATAAACTGTTTAACAATTCATTCACACAATAGATGACATGCTGACTTCCCCTGTCCCTTTTACCTTCAATAGATCCTGAGAGTGTCAAATTCTCCAAGCCTTTCTTCTTTATTATGTATCCAAGAGATTCCAGCTGTCTCTTTCTGAATCTGAACATAAGTGTCCTTTTTCTGTCTTCCTTAAGACTTAATTTGTTGTTTTATGCACTCTGTCCATGGAATTCCCAGTATCCACCTGTAGAACCACATTTCTCTTGAGTCATTTCTTCATCTGTGAAGAGATTGTCCAGTATTCACTGCCATATAGGAGGGTTTTTCCTGTTTCTTATTACTTTGCTTAGCTTTTGGAAGGCATCTTTCACTATCCCAATGCAACTTCAGATTCCAATGTCACATTTTCCCTCCTCTGTTAAAGCATGTCCCAGATATTTAATCCCTTACAATAGGGGATAAAAAACGATGTGTCTGCTACCTACGTAGATCAGTAATGATGTAATTATTTAAGATATGTGCTTGGCATATTAATATTTAAGATAAACATTATTTTAATAGCATTCACTGTGTCATGCCAGACAATTCTCTACAGAATCCATCTTGCTCATTTATAAATCTACTATTTATCTGTGCATTGAATATTGCTGCCATATCTGGTCTGATGCTCCTGCTATATATCTTGAGATTCTTGACAAAATCCAAAGATGGGTCTGTAATGTAAATGATCCTGTCCAGACATCTCAACTTCAGTCACTTTTTCACCGACGTAATGTGTCTTCCCTTTGTCTTTTCTACAAATATTTCATGGCAATTGTTCTGATAAACTTTCCTTCTTGTTGCCTCTCAACTGCATGGATTTAAACGTGCTACTAGATTGGCAATTAGGTCTCAGTTTTACTGTTGAACTAGCTAGAACCGTCAGTTCTATTCTAACAGTTTCTTTTCTTGCATTTCTCACCTTCTGATTTTTTTGCTTTCCTGTCATCTATAATCTTCCAAAATTGAAATGCAACATCAATCGCCATCTTCTGTCTTCCTGAACCTTGTTCCGTTATTGTCCTTTCCTCACTTAAGTTTTCTAATTCTCTTTCATTCCTTGAAATCCTGTATGTCCTGGTGGCTTGAGGTGAAATGATTTAAAAAA